ATTTAAGGTAAATTTGATCAGCATTAATCAACTTTGTGACAATGACATGAAGGTAAGATTCACTAATGATGCGTGCATGCTATGTGACTAATGAAAAAGATGAGTGTATGTTGACAGGTAAACGAACAACAAACCACTGTTATGTCTGGACAGAAAAGAATAAGATTCAACCAAAGTGCTTCAAAGTATCCACCACTAACAAGTCAAATACTGTTCACAGAATGTCAAAGCTCACTCATAAAGAGAAAATTGTATCCAAGTCATGTCGACGTGGTAAACAAACTCGAGTTCAACACAGGAGGATAAATGAAATACAAACCGAGAGCACCAGTGGAAAGAGGTATGGATTCGTATGTGTTGATGGTTTATTCAATTTTACGAATTTTATTAGGGAACAAGTTGAAAAGCAACACCTCGCGATTGAATATGTTCCCACAGAACATCAACTGGCTTATCTCTTTACAAAATCATTTGATATGAACAGATTCATGTACTTGCAAAAATCTGTAGGTGTTGGGGAACAATGAAAATTTTTTCTCAGTACTCGAGTCAGGGTTCCCTCAGTCTTTGGTAGGTACCACTCACTAGGATGAATAAGAAAAGTTGCAGTTAATTGATACTCCGCTATCAACTAATTTGGTTGATATGAGTGGATTGTGTTTACAGTGACTCGGGTCTAAGTTGTGAATTGAGATAGCTAAACGATGGACTAAGGGCAGAAAAGGTCAAAGATCTTTTCAAACTCCTCTGTAAAAATTATATTTTACAAGAGTATACCATGTTTTTTATATAATTGTCTCCTCATAAGTTCTTCAAATTTAAAAAAAAAAAGAAAAGAAAAGGAAAAAGCAGTAAGGGGAAGGAATTAAAAAAAAGAGAGAGAAGAAGGGAAAAACGAGTAGTCTGGACTTAAATGGTGAGTTATTCTCTTTGATTTCAACGTCTTAGAAGTTCAAATAATTGCTCAATATTTTTGTTCCGAATAGATGAGTGCTCCTTCATAGATTGTGAGAAGACCCTGACAGATGACTCTTGAAAAATCTGGTTTATTTTTTAAAAAAGGGTTTTATTATTTTGCAAAAATGTGATCAGTTTATCTTGAGTTGGTTAAGTGAAGTCGGATAAGCTACGTGGGTGAATGTGGGAGCTGAAAAATCTGAAGTGTATCTTGCAAGTTATTCCCTTGAAACGGTGCTACATTTGTGTTTTCTGCTATTCTTTTTGTTTTTGTCTCTCTCTAACCTACAGAAAAAGAAACTAGAGATTTTATGTTTTTACTCACACATAAAGGGGGAGAAAGTATTGAAGATGACCCTTCACAATGCATCAGGTGACCGTGAGTAGTTAACGTGTGATTTGAGTAGTTAACGTGTGATTTGATTACTTGAACTCAGGTAAGTGTGTGATATAAAACTTGCTCTAGAATTTTTTGAATTTCAACTCATAGGAGATATGGATCAAGGGTTTCTGGAGACAAATGAAGTACACCTGACATTGAGAATGGATAGAAATTATCTTTCTAAAGCTTGTTTGTGTATGAGTAGAAAAGTCAAAAAGGGAGAGATTGTTAGGGTTGACGTGACTAGCTCATTCTAAGTACTTGTGATTAACTAAAAGACTTGCAGGAAAGACTTGATTTGTGTTGAAGGTTCCAGAAGATTATTGAGATAAAACCAAATCATGAAGAGATAAAATCAAATCAGAAAGTTGAAGTTGAGTCAAACTCCTTGGAGCTAAGAGATTTGGAAAGAGATAAATACAAAAGAGATATGGATATACATGAAGAGGATCTATACAAAAATCAAATCAAAACTCAAAAGATCAGATCAGAACCACGTCTTGACATCTATAAAAAGAAGAGCCTGGAGCATAAAGAAGACACACAAAGAAAGAGAGCTTGAGAGAGTTTATTATTTTCTAAGAGAGTTTTTGTTCTGCTGAGTGATACTTGAGAGAAAATGAGTTGTAATTGAGGGGGAGCCCGAAAATCATAATTGTGACGAATCTTTCAGGGGAGTGGAAACACTTGGGGTGCCGTTATGGTGATAGAATTCACGTTGTAAAGGGGAACAAACTCAGGAAGAGTTGTATTCGTGAGTTGGATTAAACTCGAACAAAAAAGAGTTAGTAATTCACGATCTTTACAAGTGAATATAATCAGTGGGTTGTTGAAGAATGCGTATTCTTTAACTTTTTCAAATATGTCACGAGAAACTATGCCAATTCGCTGAAGAAATTGATAGACAATGAAGATAGATAGTATTAATCCAACTCCAAGCCATATGACATGAACATGCTTTACGTCATCCAAGCAATCTTATTGTTCATCTGATGGAGAAATTTTTTGTAGAAATCGCAGTTCATTATTTGTAACTTGCTTGTAGAAGTTAACAAAAGAATGCGAGTTGGGGGTTACAGGATAGTATCGAACAAAAAGGTTCTTTTATGATGCATACTCGAAGTGTGTCAATGGAAGCATTTTCGCTGGATTGCAGATGGAGCTATTGGGCTCGAGCTCCCCAGACGAGCAGCTCATCGGAGTGAGAATACTCAGAGATACAGTCTGCGATGAACCAACATTATTCTGACGACAAACTTCAGAAGATCAGGATCAACTTATCGGTCAACGAAATATTAGCTCTTTGCATACAAATGAATATCATAGATAACTGAAATTTTAACCTTTGATTTCGTAATTTTTTCTTTTTGTCAAGTAGAGACCTCTATTATACATATATATATATATACATATACATATTTACATATAAATAGATATATATATATATACACATATATGTATGTGCATATATATCTCGCTCTATGTATATATATATGTAAGTGTATATATATGTATGTATGTAAATATATATATTTGTATATGTATGTATGTCAATATATGTATGTTCCATTATTTTTACTATTTTTTATTAATATTAATATATTTTATTAATTTTTATTTTTGATTTATTTTTATTTAAAAATGACGAATGTTAACACCGTATGCAGTCATGAGAGAAACATGTTTTTAAAATTTTGGGTTACAACTTAGAAAATTTTGAATTTCGACGTAATTTTTATCGGAGTGACAAGTTGGTTTAATCATAAATGATTAAAGTCAATATTTTGATAGAGAAGTTTTGAATATTAATTTTTATTCGACTATATAATTTATATTAACATCTAAGTATATTATCTATTTTATTTCATTTATTTTTGTTTGACTAGCAAATTAAGATATTCTATAAAAAAAAGTCAATTTCATTTAGTCGAAGAGTTCAAGGTAGATTTTGAAGGATCATATAAAAAAATGGTATGATAAAAAAAATAAAAAATAAATTTAACAAAATACAGGTCGAACTAAATAAAAAGACATAATTAAATAAAGTTCTAACTCATATATATTTTGATTAGAAGTGAGTTAATTTTATACGAGTAGTTGAATCAATATTATTGAGATAAAATATACCTAGGACAAAAATATATGATATAATCTTAGTTGTTAGTTTTTTTAGTATAAAAATGACAAAAAACTTAGTTTGTAAAAAAAATCCACTGATTTAGAATTACATGGGATAAGTGAAAGAGTAATATGATTAGTATTATATTTTATTAATTTGGTTAAATTAAATAGATATCTATAAAATTTAAATATCGGTGAAATTATACAGATTTAATGTTATATCAATATTTTATTGTGAAGTATTATTAATCCAAATACATTATTATTAGATTTTTAACACCAACCAAATTTATATTATTATTTCAAACTGTATTTGTTAGACTATCAGTTATCATATTCTTCAGGTACCTCTCGATTTGTCAAAAATTGAACTTTTTCATCGAGTTGTAAAATTTTAAAAAATAATATTGTTTAGATGTTTCAAATTTTCATCCTTAATTTTATATTATAGGACACAAAAATATAAACGTAGAAGTTATTCACAAAAGATAGCATACTTTTATCTCGATATTTAAAAAAATAATATTTATCATTTTAATTTAAAGATATGAATTATAAATTCAAAATCAAAATATAATATATTTAACTTTTAAAATGAATAACAATAATAAAACTCTTTTTTTGAGTCGTAAACTTTTAAAAACAATGTTTAGATATTTCAAATTTTCACTTTTGATTTTATATTATAAGATAAAAAATATAAATATATAAGCTATTCACAATTATTTTTTTTAAAAAAGATATCATAGTATTATCTTGATATTTTTTAAAAATTATTTATCGTTTTAATCTAAAGATATAAATTATAAATTTCAAATCAAAATATAATATTTTAATTTTAAAATGAATAAGAATTTTTTTTAACATCTATATGTATTTGTAGTCCATGCGAGGGGTTATTATCTAGTTTAATTAAATTCTATAACAAATAAATAAAAACTATCACAACTCTTCATAAATATAAATTATATATTATTTAATTATATTTCGAATAATGTTTATATGATAGATTCGAAATTCTTTACTTCCATTTATTTATTTTAAAATTTATTGATGATAAAAAATAAATAATTTAAATTATATCTTTATCTAATCTTAAACAAAATCTATAAATAACAACATTCAACAATAATTTTATGTATTAAAAGGTCTATATACTATTTACGTAAATTAATATTCGATATTCGAATTTTAAATTTAATTTTAACTTTTTCTATTACAAATTTGAAAATTTTAATAATGTAATTAAATTTGTGTACAGGGCCCACAAAAACTTTGAGACGGGCTCTGTTCCTAAAGATTTATTTATATTTAGATCGGAAGGTTTCATATTTTTTATTTGTCATCTAAATCTTGAATATTTAATTATTTCATATATGATGGAATTAGGAAATCCTGTAGGACTCGCATCCTAAATTCCTATCCCCTAATAACAACGGCCCTTATAAAATACTTTTTTTTTCTCTAAAAAAAATCAACGAACAATACGGCCCTAATTCTGATCTCTTGTTTATTTAAAAATATTTTTTTCCCTTGTTATTAATAAGAGATACAGCTCTGATCTCTCTTCCTTCTCTCCCTCGGATCCTCAACCTGTTGTCCACCATGACCCGACCCGTATCCTTCGCCGGCTCCTTCCTCTTCTTCGCTTTGATCTCCTTCTTCTTCCTTTCTCTCCATGATCGAGTTCTAGCAGCCTCCCACTTCGAAGGATTCGATGCTGAAGATGACGATGCCTTGGACGAGTCCTCCGAGCTTCTCCACTCGAGCCGTCCTCCTCCGGTGACTCAGTCCGAGTCACCATATCTGGATCTGGAGCAACCCTCTTCCTCTGAATCTGAATCCAATCCGATTCCCAAGTCGGACACTCCGGCTCAGTCTGACTCCCGGAAACCCTCTTCTGTGTCGTTCGAGTATTGGGATGAAGACGAGTTCGAGGGTTTACCAGTGGAGGAACCGGCTATTGAGACAGCGGAGACTCCGGTGATTGACGAGAAAACTGCTCCTGCTGATGCCAAGAACCCAGATCCGGAAACTGCATCGGAGGGTCAGGACAACGTTGTTCCAAGGAAGAAGTCTTCGTACACGGTTGAGATAATCTGCGTGTCGTTCTTAATCGTTTTCGCGATCAACTACTTCACCGGGAGACGAGAGAATGAGAATCTCGCTTTGGCTTGGGCGGCAAAATTCGCTACCAAGGACACGATATTCGAGAAGAACTTCAGTTTGCTGGGCGTTGGTGAAGGAGAGGACTCGCCGTTGTTGCTAAAGGAATGTCAAAACGTGTTCAAATTCTACGCGAGTGGGCGTAGGTACTGCCATGGATTGTTGGCGACGATGGAGCTCAGGAGCAGACACGATCTGCTCTCAAGGCTGTTCAATATGGTAGTTCCTTGTAAAGACGAGATCAGTTTCGAGGTTTACATGAACGAGGAAGCCATGGATCACGTTGTGTTTGCGGTGGCGAAGAAGAAGGCTGCGAAAACTATGCAGAAGGAGCTCACGGATCTGCAGCGTTTCGCTGGAATGTTGTCCCCTCCCGGTGGAAGAAAGTGGGTTGCAGAGGAATTAGCTGTTGTGTCTGAATCCAAGGAGGTTGCTGGAGATTTGATCACAGAAGCTGTTCTTGATCAGGTGAGATGCTCTTCCCTCCTAGATTGTATCACTCTGACTATTGAAGGTGCTTGTTACGGTGTACAAAGTTCTGATGAATCCTGGTTCTGCTCGTGGGTTGCAATAAAAAAAAGATGGACTTTAGAGTTTTATGTTGATCCAATGACTCAAGAACAATGGCTTTAGCAAGTACAAAACCAGAGAAAGAAAGCTACATGATCATCATAAGAAATGCACAAATAAGTTGGGTAGAAATCGAAATTTGGCCACTTGCCCTACTAAGATCTATATCAGTTTGTTCGCTGTGTTTATTCCGGTTTTGCGGGCATATCTTTCTGTTAAAATATTCGACGAGAGTAATCATTTGGAGTTTCACAATGAGGAATGAACAGCTTTTGCTTTGTCAGAAAAGGCGAAGTTCCTTAACGCTCTTCTTATAGTAAGATTTAAGTTAAGGATGGCCATAGTGATATGTCGAAGGAACATTTTGGTGTCGTAGAAACATCAATTCTCTATGCAGATTGCAGAGTAATGCTGATCCGATCCCCGGTTGGTTCTTTGAACTTGTTTCTTCCGCTTCTCCATGTTTATGATTGTCACTTAACTTTGGAAAGAGCCATTACTTTCTTTGAGAACCCTTTATTTTGGTTGGTTTCGGCATTTGGCTGATGTTGATTTTCTCCTCTATCTCCACCCGTCTGTCTTGTTATATCAATCAAACGCAACATGCAATTGCCTTCTGCAGGTTTTCGGCGACAAGGCTTTCGAGAAGTTCGGGAAGTACTTCATCTCGATGCATTTCTCTGACCAACACTCTGGCAAACACCGGAAAATGCTGCTTTTCAAGTTTGCCCTTCCCGATGCCAAAAATATGGATGATATGGTACGGTTGGTGGCTCTGATTCCGTATTACATCGACTTTGTTGGGCGCTACCGGCTTAGCTCTCAGGTAGGCAAACTTTACCGTCAATCTCGTACTTAAAACGAAATGCCGATTTTACGAGTGGGAGGATTTTCTTTTTTTTTTTCTCATTTCAGGCGCGGAACAAAACCGAGGCTGCTAGGCAAAAGGCGGCTCAGGAAGCGTACAAGGAGCTTGAAAACGTTAGGCAAGAAGCATTGCAGAAGAAGAAAGCAGAAAGGAAGAAAATGATGGAGGAGGCCGAGGCAAAGCTTAGTGCGGAGGCCCTACGGAAGAAAGAGGCAAAAGAACGTGCTCGCCAGATGAAAAAGGGGATGCCAAAAATGAAGATGACCCGTGGTCACTAGAACATGACGAAACCCTAGACTTCCCCTTATTCAAGCAGCTTAGAAAATATATATCGACGCCATAAATTCTTCTGCTGGCAGCTACATCATTAAGTTCAGCAATGTCAGCGAACCGAAATTCGTCAAGCACAGGCGCCTCTTGGTGAGCGGTTTTAGTTTGCCATTCGTACGGCTCACCCTCGTGAAATCGGATCTATCGCCTTTTTTCCCCTCTTTTTCATGAATCTTTTACTCGTAGTTGGTTCCTCTTTCATTTCAATCACTCATAAGGACGGCACTGGAAGTGTACTTGCCATACGCTGAGACCTCTTTGGAAAATATAACCCTAGTTTTGATGTTATCAGATACATGTTATGTCCGTTCAGATACCTGAACCTCAGCGACCCGCAAGTATCTGTTCTGCAGGCATCCGAAATTCGGAAACCCGAACTCCGATGAGTGCGAGAAAACTAGAACCCACGGATAACCTTAGGAGAAGAGTTGTCAAGGCTGAGAGAGGGATTAGGATTTGGCTAGAGGCATAAGACGGTGAGGGGCCGTATTCCTCTTAAAAAAATTAATCAGACATCATATTCGAATTTGGGTTTCCAGGCGAGAGGCGATTTTGCGTCGCCTCGCCTTGCCTCGCCTTCTGCTCCTCGGGATAGGTACCCAACTCGCCCTTTCGTCTCAACCCCTTCACCACTCGCCTTGTCACCTCTCCAGCACGAACCCTCACCTCTCACCCCATGGATAACCGACGTGTTGGACTTGGTTTAAAAAAGCGCGAAGCGTCCGAGGCGCCGAAGATCTAAAAAACCAAGGTGCGGGACGCAAGTGGAGGCACGCGTCTCGTGAGATATAACATATAAAATATAAAATCATATTGTTTGATATGTATAGTATATATAAATATACATGAATGTGAAAAAAATAATTCTTTATTTTTCAATATAATATATATTATAAATATAATTTCTATAGTATAGATTTATATGTATGTATACACAAAAAATAAAAATTGATTATATATTGCATTAATCTATATCAATATAAATCACATTATTATTTAAAAATAAAAAAAATAAAAAAATTTAATCATAATCAACTAAAGTTGAAATACATTGAAAATGTTGTAACTGATATATATTTAAATAATTATAGTTAATATATATGTATGTTTTTTTAAGCTTTCTACTTAGTTTGTAATTACTTACAGGTTTTTTGTGAGTTCCTCGATTCCATCATCTTTTTTTATTTGTTCTCATGATTTGACCATTTTTATTAATATACTAGGTGAGGGCCCGCGTATTGCGCGGGTTATTCTATATTTTATTTGTTTATTTTGTAAATTTTATTCATATGAATACCATTAAAATGATAGATTTTATTTATTTGTTATAGAGAAAATATATTAGTAAAATAATTTAATATGATTAATATTTTTATATATTAATTAGATATATGATTTTAATATTTTAATTAACTACATAACACAATGATGATATGGTGTTTTAATACTGAACGAGAGAATCCAGGTAATCGCTGAGCTTATGGCGGCATAGGGTTCTGGAAGACGAACTCCTTCCTCACATAATCTCCAAGCGATTCCTCTCCTCCTCTCTTCACACCGCCTTCACCCTCACCTTGTTTCCCTCGATGGAGAATCCGATAACGTCCATCTCCACCGTTAAACTCCGGCGAATAACCCCTGTCCAGCTGAATTCTCTCGGCATAATAATAAATGGCCAAAACGTCCAAAACGGCTATTAATGAATACATACATATATATACATACGACGAATGCTATATATACATATATATTAGAAAGGAAAAACTCTCATGTTCTATATGACATTATATTAAAAATGTCGTCCATATGTTATTTTATAAAATTATTCATTTGATAAAACTTTTATAATTTTAACGTTATAACCAATGTAATCATCATGACCAAACTATAATTTTGATTACATGGTCATAACTGGAAAAATGTATGAGTTGAAGTTAAAATAGCATATGGAAGGTATTTTTGATAATACCCTGTTTATATATATGATTCAGACAGTCTTCAATTATGGTATATATACATATGACGAGATACAACTAATTAAAAAAAATGTTATATGTACTACTATTAACCAAAGATTTCATATATCGAATTTACATTTTATATTGCAATCTAATTCATATATCGAATTTAAAAAAAAATATTTAGATATAGTTTTTTAAAACAAAAGTTCTAAAATCAATGAAACCCAAATAATATAGATATAAATAGATGATGCTTTAAATATAGCTTGATTTATACTACATATGCTACTGGGCTCCTGTTAATAGATGATTATATAAACGTTCATGTTAATATAACTCCCACATATATTTAGAGATCTATATATTTGATCTCCCAATATTCTAATCTTATGTTGAAATAGAAGATATCTGAGTAATGTTATACTCGCCGAGCAGCAACAATGAAGAAAGAGACGAAGAATAAGGGAAAATGACATTTTCCTATACGGATTGTTTACAATGTGATTTTTTCCTACACGGATTTTTAATTTGACAAAAAACTACACCAAATTATCAAATGTGTCAAATTACCCAATTTAACTGCAATTTCCTACACAATCCGAATTGGGTGTTAAATGTCCGTTAACTGATGACATGGCATGTCACGTGGTGTCTGACATGGCATGCCACATAGAAATTTTGTCATGTCAGCATGCCACGTCAGATTTAAAAAAAAATCCAAAAAAATCTGAAAAAAATCAAAAAAATTTAAAAAATATATATACTCCTATTTAAAAAATATTTATACTCCTATATATATATTCATATCTATATACAAATACAAATATAAATATATATACTCCTATATAAAAATATATCTATATATATACAAAATCAAACATATACACATATATATATACACACTAACATCTATACAAATATATATACATATATATACAAACAAATATATTTATATATATACACATACACATATATATATATATACATACATACATACAAAATAAAAAATACATATATATACATATATATTCATATCCACATACAAATACAAATATAAACATAAATACTCTATGTATATATATATATCTATATATATCAAATAAAAAATATACACATATATACATGCATTTATATCAATATATATACATACATACATACAAGTATATTTATATATATACACATACATATATATAAATACATATACATATGCATATATATATATACATATATATATACATACAAAATAATATATATATATATATATCCACAAATAAATACAAATATAAACATAAATACTCTTATATATATATATACATAATAAAAAATATATAAGTATATATACATATACAGGAGTATGTATGTTTATATTTGTATTTGTATATAGATATGAATATATATGTATATATATGTATTTTTTTACTTTTTATTTTTATTTTATTTTTATTTTTTTTCAGTTTTTTTTTCGGATTTTTTGTTTTGTTTTTTAATCTGTTTTTTATTTTTATTTGTATTTTTTGTAATTTTTCGGATTTTTTTGTGTTTTTTTAAATCTGACGTGGCATGGTGACATGGCAAAATATTCCATGTGGTATGTCATGTCAGATGCCACGTGGTGTGCCATGTCATCGGTTAACGGACATTTATCATCCAATTCGGATTGTGTAGGAAATTGGAGTTAAATTGGGTAGTTCGTGTATCAATTTGGCACATTTGATAATTTGGTATAGTTTTTTGTTAAATTAAAAATTCGTGTAGGAAAAAGTCACATTTTAAACAATTCGTATAGGAAAATGTCATTTTCCCGAAGAACAACCAATCTAATAATTTTTTTTATCATTAAAGTTTATATCATCGATGTAATGGGGTAATACATTTTATCTAATAATAAATATGGTGTGGTGGGATAATGAATAGTGTATATGGAGATCACGTACATAATTTTTCAATAGATCATAACATTTTTCATTTAATTATTTTTCATTTAAATTTTTATAAATTTTAGAATAATTCTTATTCTAATATGTATTTTAAATAACCAGTGAGAATTAAAATTGTTTCTTTTTAAAACTATAATGATATGTTTACAATTTTTTTGTATCACCTATTTTTAATTAACACAATATTTTCAACATATTATAATTTTAATATATAGAATTAATGCTATGCTAAAGTTAGTATTTTTTATGTCTCTTAACAATTTTTGTTATTAGTTAGCCACAAGTATATATCATTAATTTAGCTCGATCAAATTATAGAAACTATATAATTTCTTATTAAAATTGCGCATAGATAACACAAACATATAGTCACATACTATTTTCTTTTTCGAAAAACTTATTACAATTTCGTTTTCCAAGAACTTAATAACCGTGAGAAATCTAATGTTCTTTTTTATGAGAAAGGAACAATAAACGCATTATTATGATTTCTATTTAAAAAAAGAAAATAAAGTAGACTAAGAAATGCGAATATGTGGGATTGAGATACTCTAGGAGAGACTTTCCACTACTTCCTCTTTGTCATGCAGATTGCAGAGCGTTCTCTCTCTATCGAATCGTATAGGGGGAAATTAAAAAATATACTCACTAAAATTAGACGAAAATTGACTTAAAATCTGTATATATAAATGCAAAGAGAAACTTACCATAAAAATGGTGACAATACATAATGTAAAGTTCCAAAATTTAGGAGAGAGATTCTTAGGATAGTCAACGTCCATAAACTCTACAATTACGTTGCAAGAAAATGACTTCATCTCTCCCTTCTTTTTTTTTTTTTTAATCTTTCCCTTGCATATATTCTTATTTATTTACCCACAACATCCACTATCCACAATGAAATTAGATTTACATTATAAATTTAAATTAATTATACTAATTAATATACAAGTACATTATTAGCTGAATTTAATAGTGATAAATTAATTCACAAGATTATCCAGCTATAAAGTATTTTAATAAATTTTTATCTGCAAAAATAATAACTATAATACTTGTAATCGTAATTTTTAAATAATGAAATTAAAATCAATTGTTTTAATTATAGTTTCATTTGTAATTTTGTTTATTATAAATTATATTTTTATTTACACTTTGTGATATATATATATATATATATTAGATTGAATTTCAAAAATTTATCTTTTTCATACATTATCTACTTTTGTTTATAATAATTAGACGAATTGTTTTCAATTTAGAAATAATTGCGTTGTTAAATCCTTATTTTTTTGTAGTGTTAAGAGGATTTTAACATGGAACAAAGTACTATGCCTCAAGCAAATATGAAACCTTTTTACTAAAGCAGGTTCCCTCAAGATGACATGGGTGAAGACAAATCAGTTCAAAGGAAAGCCATTTTGGATCCTTAGTTCACGTGGCTCGGAAAGCTGGGCATGGAAACGGATTCTCAAGCTCTGACCAGTGGCTAGGAATATGCTTCGGTGTAAAGTGGGGCTTGGTGAAAATTGTCGTTTTTGGTATGACTCCTGGCTACCTCGGGGGCGTTGATGGACACCCTTGGTGAAGCAGACCCTCGCCTTCTAGGCATCCCATGACTAGCTCTGGTATCGAATGTCTTTTCTGCCTCAGGTTGGAGGCTACCTCGAGCTAGAGGTGCCGAGATTGAGAGAGTCCACATGGAAATCTTGGGCCTTCTTGCGTCGACCCGGGCTGCATCCCCAGATCATTTCTACTGGTCACCTACTACATGCACCGATACTTTGCCTTCGATCTCCACCAAAGCAACTTGGCAACAGCTCCATCAACTGCCTCCTCCTCTCGCTGGGTATAAAGTTGTCTGGTTCTCTGGTGCCACGTCTAAGCATGCGCTCATGTTCTGGTTGGCAGCTAGGAATCGTCTCCCCCACTCGTGACCGCTTGAATTCTTGGGCTCTTAATGTTCTGTCCCATTGCGTTCTATGCAACAGTGGGGAGGAATTTATGGACCACTTGTACTACACTTCTACCCTATGGACATTTCTTCTAACCTCCTCACATGTCTCTTGGACTAATCTGGGATCATTTGAGAATCATCTTTGTTGATTATGGACTGTGACGCCAATCGATGCATCAAACTCATGGTAATGCTGCTATTTCAGGCAGTAATACACTTTGCTTGGCATGAGAGGAAATGTAGGGTGCATGGTGGAAGCCCTCATCTGTCAACTGTTCTGCGCAAAGAGATCCTACGGTATGCTAAACGGAAGCTATGGGCGTTGAAGTCTTTAGGCACGGGTCCGGCTACTACTCCAGAACTACTGCAAATATGGTTCTCATTATTTGACAGGCTTTGACTAATCGTATCATTTCACTCTCGGCTTTTGAATTTGTAACAACCGCTACTCTTTTGTAAAGTGTTTTTCATCAATGGAATTTACAATTACAACAAAAAATAAATATTAAACTTTGTAACCTCCTCTCACTTGATTCTGGGACTGAAATCGATCTTAAGCCGGAAATACATGTGTGTTCTGTCGATTTGCAAGGAACACATATTGTGTTATGTTTTGGGAAAAACATATATTCAGAAATTTTCCAAACTTGCACGTAATTAACAATTGAAAGTTTTACAAAGAACTGATTCATAACTGTAGCAAACCCCCATACATGAACTTCCTTAAACTGACATAATCGACTAACTGCAACTCCCTCGTTATCTTCTGGTGTCAGAAAGTTGAGCCAATCGCGCTTGTGATCCAACATACGCAATATTAGAATATATCAAAAGGTTAACGTGTTCAAACATGGATTTTGAAGATTTCTAAGGTATTTGGGGTGTTTGGGATGTGAGAGACAAAGTAGAACTCGAACAAAACACCACCGAGAACACTTAGATTAAAGGAGACAAGGAAGAGATGGTGAAAGGGGACAATGTCCCTTGTATTCCCTTAACTAAATCGGTACAATATGATGAGAATTTATACAAGATGAAGATGAGCTGCCAACGACTAGATTGAGAAGGAAAAAGAGGAAAATAGATCAATTAGAAACATCTAGTGACAACTAAGGAAAGAATGAATTATGTAGATCAGATTTGTAGGAGACTTAATGAAGATCTTGCTTGATTGAAATCCTTGATTCCCAACGTCTCTTTTGGTCAGATTTGGGGCAAATAGAGTCAAGTGGTTTAACAGAATAGCCTAGGTAAAATATAAAGATTTCTAAGGTATTTGGGGTGTTTAGGATGTGAGAGACAAAGTAGAACTCGAACAAAACACCACCGAGAACACTTAGATTAAAGGAGACAAGGAAGAGATGGTGAAAGGGGACAATGTCCCTTGTATTCCCTTAAATTATATTTTTATTTACACTTTGTGATATATATATATATATATATTAGATTGAATTTCAAAAATTTATCTTTTTCATACATTATCTACTTTTGTTTATAATAATTAGACGAATTGTTTTCAATTTAGAAATATTTTATATTCATTATTAAATACATTTAAAAATACTTATTTATATATAATATTTTTAACTCAAAAAAACTAAAAATTATTATTTTAATTATATACTTATTAATATTCCAGTTTATTATAAATCATATTTTTCATTTATATTATATATGTGTGAATTTTAGAAATATTTAAATATTTGTTTTATATATAAATATATAAATCATTTGTTTTGAATTATATGTTACAATTGATATATTTAAAAAAACTTAATTTTTATAAATAAAAATTTCTGGGTTATTCATAATTTTTTGTATTTTATGCATACTCTCATATTTTATAAAATCTAAATTTATACATAATTTCACACATATTTACATTTATATATATACACATATATGTGCATGTATACATATGTATATATATTTATAAATTTATACACACATATATACATATTTGTACATAAAATATGTGTGTGTATATATATATATATATAAATGCAAAGAGAAACTTACCATAAAAATGGTGACAATACATAATGTAAAGTTCCAAAATTTAGGAGAGAGATTCTTAGGATAGTCAACGTCCATAAACTCTACAATTACGTTGCAAGAAAATGACTTCATCTCTCCCTTCTTTTTTTTTTTTTTAATCTTTCCCTTGCATATATTCTTATTTATTTACCCACAACATCCACTATCCACAATGAAATTAGATTTACATTATAAATTTAAATTAATTATACTAATTAATATACAAGTACATTATTAGCTGAATTTAATAGTGATAAATTAATTCACAAGATTATCCAGCTATAAAGTATTTTAATAAATTTTTATCTGCAAAAATAATAACTATAATACTTGTAATCGTAATTTTTAAATAATGAAATTAAAATCAATTGTTTTAATTATAGTTTCATTTGTAATTTTGTTTATTATAAATTATATTTTTATTTACACTTTGTGATATATATATATATATATATTAGATTGAATTTCAAAAATTTATCTTTTTCATACATTATCTACTTTTGTTTATAATAATTAGACGAATTGTTTTCAATTTAGAAATATTTTATATTCATTATTAAATACATTTAAAAATACTTATTTATATATAATATTTTTAACTCAAAAAAACTAAAAATTATTATTTTAATTATATACTTATTAATATTCCAGTTTATTATAAATCATATTTTTCATTTATATTATATATGTGTGAATTTTAGAAATATTTAAATATTTGTTTTATATATAAATATATAAATCATTTGTTTTGAATTATATGTTACAATTGATATATTTAAAAAAACTTAATTTTTATAAATAAAAATTTCTGGGTTATTCATAATTTTTTGTATTTTATGCATACTCTCATATTTTATAAAATCTAAATTTATACATAATTTCACACATATTTACATTTATATATATACACATATATGTGCATGTATACATATGTATATATATTTATAAATTTATACACACATATATACATATTTGTACATAAAATATGTGTGTGTATATATATATATATATATATATATATTCATATATACCTATGTATATTGTATATAGATATCTATAAATATGTATATGTATGTATATGTATTCATATATATATATATGTATTTATACTTTTATTTTTTATTTTTTAAATATATCTGTATATATTATACTTTATTTTTATTTTTCGGTCATGAAAGTTATTATTTTTCTTGATCAATATTTTCATTCTTAGATTGGACCTATAGACCTGTTTCTTTAAACAAAGCCGTAGAAAGCAAGATGTTGGCTTTGACTCATGGTGACGTTGAAGATGTCAGCCCTAAGTTCCTGTACAAAGAAGGAAAAAAACATGTAACTGTTATCTTCAATGATAGATGTTGTTTGGAAAATTCCGGGAAAAGAGACTCATTCTTAATGGACAATACAAATAAACTACAAGAATATGAACCAAAGATAATATTGATTGTCAAATAAAGAAGAATCTGCATGTCAATAATATGATGTCGAAATATACATCAAGCTCGTTATTTAATAAAAATGTTAGAATCATAATCGAAACTATGTCGGATACAGCGCATGATCAAAAGATAATTCTTATTAGTGAAAAATTAACGATCATAGAATTTATCACAAAAAAAAAAATACATAATCTAATAAAAATGAATAGAAACTAAAACTTGGGATTTATTCCGATATACCTTCTGTTTTATTTAGAGTTCGGAAAACGTGACGGTAGCACAGGTCCCTTCCTCCAAAAAAGTGTTTGGATGTTCTATATATATCATCAGATTTATTATTAATCCGGGTTGAATAGAATTTCTAATAAGATACTGTCAATATGATTGAAAGGACGAAATGAAATTTTGAAAACAAAGACAACTTACAAACATTCACTCTACCGAGCTTTCGTGGATTCATCAACATGTGTATCATGTCGTTTTTCCTAGGAATTTTTTCTTACAATCGAAGGTGTGTTTAGCATCATAATAAACCTTCCACTGGGTGAAATGTTTCCTGGGTTCTACCCCTTGCCGAGGCAAGAGTGTAATAAATATAAGTTTGTCAATAAAGAAACCGAAAAGGTCTCGTAACGGCATTTGCCGTAACAACCTCTATATCACCATGAATGACATATTAATATGTCATTAACTTTGAAATACGTGGAGCTTGCGTTTGTTTTTGTAGGCTTATTCATTTAATTATTTTGTAATGGTATATTAAAGGTTTTTCATGTGTAAATTATTATCATTAAACCATTATCATTAACGACTTCATCCGTTTTAATAGACCATAATAAATATGGTGCAGAGGGAATCGACATCAACAGGTATCGACATCCGTTTTTATTTTTAATTACCACTAAAAAAAATTGGAACTTGAAACACAATTAATGAGGTTTAAAATAACAAATAAAAATTAAACACATTCCACATCGATGATGAGATGGACGCTGAGATGGCTCCACCAGAAGCCTTCAAACACAACTTTTAATATGTATAGATTTAGTAGGAATTAATTGTGTATTGAAGTCCGCATTGTTCATCATCTATAATCTCTTTCGAACTGCACAACTTTGCTATATTTATTTCTTTTTTGTACTCTGTCCTAGAGGCGGCCGCCTCACGCCTCAAGCGAAGTTGCGCTGGAGGCGCGCCTAGGGACACCTCTTGGACTTCGCTCTCGGCCGAGATAATAGAGGGGACGATGACAGAGGTTGGGTATCCCTGAAAACTCGGGTGTCTGATCCGTGCTGTAATGCAGATCGCATTTTTGTCTCACATTACGTGATGTTTTTCACGTCTAAAGAATGCACAAATTCGCATTACTTGTTCAATTTCATATAGAGGTTAGTGTATTATTTGAGTTTTTGCGACATTATTCATCTGATAGTTTACAAATGAATACATGTATCAATGGCACAAGACAACTCTAAGGATGTTTACCCAACAATGTTTCTACTTCTTCAGATAGGCCATGGGTACGAGGTTTCTGAACCGTTTCTTGATCGACAAAAGCAGCGCAGGACCGAGGAGCGGCCACGTCGTGACTATGGCGATGTAAGCTAATAGCCAGATCGATTTCCGACTGCCTCTCGAGAGCTGATCCACTCGTTTTTTCAAGGGGGCGAGCAAGTCGTTAAGAGCTTGATCCGAGAGCTGAGAACTGTTCTTATGCGGGTCTGTCTTCTCTCTCGCTGCGTCAGTCTTTTCGTGCTCCAAACGAGTTTCTCCTACTTCTGCAAGAGCTGTCTCGGTCTCTTCCTTTCCATTCGAAGCATCTGCTTGAGTTGTTGTCTGGATTTCAGCTGCGGCCATCACCATCCCCTCTTCCGTGACATTTAGATACGGCCCGTGATCTATCGAAGATTCCAACGGATTCAAAGTAGCTGGAGCAGGAACCTGCAAGTGAAAAGCGAGGCATCAAGAATGCAGACTTGCGAGAAACAGTCTAGGGCAAGACCCCGAAAACATGCACCCGTGACTTCACTTCCCATCGAATGTCCCAATAATTAAGAAGTCGAAGATAAGCTAAAGCATGGCTTGGGTTTTTCGTCTGATACCTTTAGTGTTCGGTCTGCGAATTTGCTAGAGAGTAAAACACTGAAGTATTCTTGCACAGCCCTAACCCACCTGCAAACGAATCGAAAGATAGCATTCGGACGTTACTCCCGTAATCGTGAAACACGATTAACCATAACGGAAATGCACATAATGAGGTGCACCGATACTGGTACATAGTAAAAAGGCGAAATAGTTAGATAGATAGACGGATGAAGTTATTAGTCATGGGAATAAAAATCCAAAACCTTAAGGCTTAAGCCGAAAACACGTAAAACCTTCAGCAAGTGTATATACATCGATGCATAAGATAATTACCACATGCTTGTTGCGGTCATTCCTTCGTAGTAACCAAGATGACCTCCATGCTTTGTGGTAGCCAGAACGATGTTTTCGTTAGCCCTGCAAATTGAAAAGATAAGACATTTTCATACGTTCAAGATCACAGCGGAGTAACCACTATCCTCGTCACCAAACACCATAATAACACCGAAGGCTAAAAGCTACGAACTCCAGGTTTTAACGTCATATCCGAATTCAAAACTGTGAAGAAACTCATGTTCCATAAGGATCACTAACTTTGCTACCACTTCGATATAGTAGAAAAGCTTGCCTCGGAACCCGTTCATCGAGTTGTAGGAATATGTCGGTAACGAATTACGACAAAATCAAATCTCCAGAAGAAACCACTGCTGATTAGATCAAGTAATTGTATCGAGGACATTCTATGTCAAAGTCAAGAGGAAGCTGAGGTAAGACAGGTGCAACATACAGTGGTTTCGTGATAAACTAACTATTGTGAATATACATTCTAAATACGTGGCTCCAGGATCAACGAGTCTCGATGTACAAAACTGCAAATCGTGGACTTATAAACCGGACGGATGACGAAAATAAAAAAACAGAAGGGGCATATCATTTTAAAGAGAAAGCAAATAACTACGTACCTACATTCGTCCCATGGAATAGCTTCGCTTGTACAAACCGGATCATCTAAAGCACTAATACAGAGGAGAGGAACTGCAACATTTCCGACGAATTGTGCACTGCTCGAACGTCTATAATACGTATCCACAGTCTGCAGCATTGAAAGAGAGAATTCCTTGCTAAGGTTAATGGGAAGTGGAGATGATTCATCAAAAACATGAAAAGTTGATGAAACAAGATCATTTGTCCGCACCTCGAACTTCCCCACGAGTCTGGTGGCATAGTTGTCGAATTCTCGAACTGACATTGACTAAAACAACCGACCAAACGAACAAAAAGAGGTATAAAGTTCAAATGATTTGATTCGATAAACCAGAATTGTTAAACACAAAGAAAAAGCAGAAGCCACCTTCTTTATCCCTTCCCAATCTGCCAGACGTGAAATAACGGTCTGGTGCCTTCGGGTACAAATATATGTAAGAAAAGAAGATAGTTAAAAACAGACAAAACAAAGTACGTTTATGTTGCAAGTGATATCATATCAGCAGGAGAAAAGGACAAAAGACATACAATTGTGCGTAACCTTGTAGACCAATCGTAAGCACTCTGTCGTAAAACTTTTGCACGGGTCTGCGGTTGATAAATCGGTCACATATCTGCAATAGATAATGTTTTCATACAGTAAGATCAATTGTTGCATCGTCTTCTTTCTTGGCTCTGTTTCTAGAACTTCTAAGACAGCCTTAAAGGCTTAAACTGAATAGAATACGTAACAAACGAGAAAGTTATCGACGTCATAGGCTCTTTCTGACAAGTAAAATTTTCTTTTTTGTGATTTTAAGAGAAAATCCGAGACCGAACAAAAAAAAAATTGTAGGTAACAAATACATGAAGACAAAGAGGTGAGAACTCAAGAGAAAGTGGCACGAAGGATAGAACATATCATTTCAGCAATGCAAATTGTTTATCAAATTTTGCATCTTAACGAAAATGAAATGCTACAGAAAATGTAAATGTGAAAATGAAAAAAGATGAAAATTTCACTTTTGGAGTGGTACTGGGTAATAAAAAACTTGAAGCAACATCTCGGCCTCTCGGGATCGCAGCGGATATAAAAGGTATACTTACCAGAAGATCCCAGGGAGAGCACACAGCTGTAGCTCCAACCAGTGGTGTTGTAGGTCCATCTTCACCAAGATATTTCACCTGAATTAAGTTCCAATTAGGCATTTACAAAAGTGTTAAGGTATTTACCAAATAAGTATTAAAAAGAAAACAAAAGCGTTAAAGCCTTCAAATCTCAAATGGGTACAAAAATTCGGGCCATAAAACCAAATGAAAGAAACGGAAGTGGAAGAACAAATGATTATCATAACATTAGCCTGAGACTAACTCAAAACCAGCCATAAAGTTTGTATCTGTTGAGGCAAATGGAAAGAGGATTTACAAGATGTTCAACATACCAAAACATTGGCTCCGATGCTTGTTCCAACAGCAAACAAAGGTGCCTCCGGGAACTGAGAATGGATGTGATCAATTGCTCTGCGAATATCTTCCGTCCACCCAGCATTGTAGAAGAAATCAGACTGGTTAACATTACAGGGAAGTTTCAGCCCACAAAGTCATAAAACCATGCATGATAAGACACATTATCATATGCATATTTCAAAAAAGCAAACCTCACATATGGAGAAACTGCTTAAATGTTTTAAAACATTAAGCAATTTCTCCACAAAATTAAAGATTCTGACTACCAAATGCAACGGCTGGACAATGGAGAAGCGTTTTTTTTTATCTGAAACTGGGTTAAAAATCTCAGAACTGAAAATAGTTCAGCAGAAACTCACAGTAATCGATATGCCTCCCAGTCCACGGTGGTTGCTCACGACGACGTTCCATCCTTCCCTTGCCAGCCTAAAGGCCAAATGCTTAATATACTGTGATAGGCAAGGACTTAAGTTAGAAAATATGACAGAAAAATGGGAGAAGCCCACAATGTAACAGAAAGACAGGAGCAACAAGGTTACTTCAACAAAGGTAAACGAATCAAAGAAATAAACTTGCACCATAAAGCTCGGAACTTACAGCAGCGGTAGAATCACTTGTCAACCCTGGAACCACTATAGCAATTGGAGTCCTATCATTTCCTTGACTACTAGCACTGACATGAGAAGTACCTTGCATAACTGTAGAAGGAAAAACAAGAGGAGAAAGTGGCAAGAATCCGAAAGAATGAGAAAAGTAAACTTCAAGAGCTAGACGGATACAAACATTACCATCAGAATGCATCAACCAATCCAACGCGATTGTGCCACCATCTGTTGTCTTAAAGAGGTGTCTGAGCGCATTCAAACCATTAAATTATTTATCCCACAATGAGAGAAAACTTTGACGAGCTAAAGAAATTGGTTAGCTACGTGAGCCAATATAAGGTTACCGCAGATCATTTGTTTGACGAGTTACCGTGCCTTCTTGATAATAAATCAATACGTTCGTTTGGAAGTAAAATCAAGCTTTACCCGACTTTCACAGAAATGTATTGTTCCTTGAACGATCAAAGGCTTAATTACCTTAAGTTGTTATTTTATAAACACAGTCCTTCAAAGTCTATACAACACAAATCTGCATCAGTCATCAAAATCTCACAATGAGAGAAGCCTAGGACACCACATCATCTATTGTCTGAAGGGAGCATTAATAACCCATGATTTCTGATCTATTAACTAGGAAATCTAAACAAGCAAAGAAGACACTGCGGATTCAACAAAGCCAAAGGCGGGAACTTTCAATGTCTGTTGTTCGATAAACCTAGAAATCAACGATATACAAATCAAAGAATCTTCTTCTGAAACTCACCGCTTGTAGCAGAACCGAGGAGCGTTCCCAAAAATGCTAAGAAAAACTGTTTGAAGATGAGGGCCTGAAAGCCATGGCGTAGGTGAGTACCTGCAATCAATATACACATCTTTACAGTGTTTACACACATATATACACAAACCCATCATCAAAATACGAGAAACCCCAAAACTTCTACACGAGAAAACTTTACCGCCCGCGAAGAAGACCGCACTTGGATACCACGAATTGGCAGAACTCGGAGCCCCCATTGTAGGTGAGAGTCACAGGATCGCCTCTGAGGCCATTGACGAGTAAATCATGGAGAAGATGAAACTCGAGGAAATTGTAGAAGAAAACGAGGATTATGAGGAGAACCCAGATGAGATAGTGAGAGATGGGGATGAGAGACAGCGATTTGAAGAGAACAATATAAGGAGAGGACAGTTCGTCCTCTGCCACCACACAGTTCATGGAGACAGAACAAGAAGAAGACGAGATCCTCTGTAGCCGGAATCTGGGATATGCGCGAAGTGCGGAGAAAACAGAGACGGGCTCGTTTTTTTTGTGTATGAATTTTTTTTCGTCAAAGGAAACGGGCTTTTCATTTCCTTTTTGTTCTCTCTCTCCATTGCTTGTGGCTGAGATAATCACTGACGTGTGGAAGAACCATAATTCTTTTTTTTCGTATATATTTTGTAATATTCTTGTATATAAAATAAAATAATATAATATATCATTTTTATAAAATTAAATCATTATTATAAAATTACTTAATTCGATATTAAAAAGCAAAACTAATAAATTTTTAGTTAAATCAAATCGGGTATAAAATTAATATCTTTCATTTAAATTAATTTAATTAAAGTTAGCTCAAATTTTTAATAAAATCAAACTGAATGGAAAAGGAAATATAACCCAAACTCTAAACTTCCACCTAATTAAATGAAATTTAGTTGATAAACAATTTCCTAATTCACTTAAAACTGTAATTTTATCGAGAGAAAATCCCAAAAAAAAATACTGAACTTTTCAATTTTGATAAAAAAAACACTGAACTTTATTTTTTATCAAATAAATATTAAATTTTTTAAATAAATCTAAAAAAACACTTAACTTAAAAAAATGATCTAAAAAATATATGAATTTTTATGCGATTATCAAAAAAACACTTAACTTTTTTAGTGATCCAAAAAAATACATAAGCTTTCTTCGATTGTAAAAAAACTAAGTAAAATAATGTGACGTGTTTGTATCTCCTTGTGACACGTCAGTCATTTTGTTTATTTTCACAGTCGTAAAAGAGTTAAGTATTTGGTTTGTCAAATTTAAAAAGTTTAATGTTTATTTGACAAAAAATAAATTTCAGTATTTTTTGTCAAAATTGAAAAATTCAGTGTTTTTTTTTTTGAGATTTTTCGTATTGATTGATGACAAATAAAATGCATTCATGAATATGCTAAAAAAATGTGAATGCATATGATGAAAGCCGAATTTAATTTAAGCTTTTCAAAGAACGACTATGAGCTTGGAGTTTCCGCATTTCATTTCATGAGGAAGACAAACAAAATAAAATATTTGCATCGAAAGTAAATAACATAATTTATTTTATTACATCTTCGCATCTCTTGGTCTGTTGTTAAATATTAGGGTTGGTTATACACAAAATAAATAAAGAAAAGTGTCAAAAAATATAATAATTATGTCTATTCTAAAACATAAAATTCAGCCAAACCAAAACAGTTAAAATTAAAAATTAATTGAATATAATTTTTTTAACCAGATTAAAAGAATTTATGCAAATAAAAACATAAAAACTGGATAATTAAAAAAATTTAAAAATAAAATAATATACTAAGCAACCAAAACCAAACTAAACATATTAAGAAAATTTTACATAAATGAATGGAGAGAGTCGAGTTCAAATATCGGTGACGATATCATTTCTCCGGCGACGATCACACTAAATCTGGACCGTTCAATCGAAGACTGATCAACAGGCAAAGGAATCAAAGGAGCAAAGAGAACTAGACAGCTTTAACAAAAAAAAAAAAAGAGAGAGAGAAGATCTAGACAGACAGAAGGAGACGCAGTTGGATTGTTCTGATATGCCAATAATCTTCCAATGAATACAAAGATGTAGGAAAATTAGGTGAATTGGCTTTGGATTTTACGCACTTTATTATTATTATTATTATTATTCACTTTATTATTATTATTATTATTATTATTATTATTATTATTATTATTATTATTATTATTATTATTATTTTATTTTATTTTTGGTTAAAGGTGAATGAATTATAATACTATAGTTGCTCTACAGCTCAGTCATTACACTAAGTACAAGATAATGGTGGAATCCCATGCAAGTGAATCGTTCATAGAGAACGCCAAAAAAATAAAAGCTTCAGCCAATGAGTTATGCCAACATTAGGTAGTACCAGTCTTGAAGAATCCTTCTGCCCATTGAGTTCGGTCGAACCTTCTGAGTAAACAAAGCTCCCCTAATGGTCCGGTCAATTTTCCGTCGCAATACCTCGATAGGACGTGTTTTCGTACCGAAAACTCGGTTATTTCTTTCTCTCCAAATTTCATAGATAGTAACCTGTACCACCAAACTGATGATTTTCGGTTGTGATCTGGATCGGTCATGAGAAGGTGTATCATACCAGATAATGATGTCAGATAGCGAGTGAGGGGGAGATGGCCAGCACCTGCCGGCGAAGGAGAGCCAGATGCATAAACTGAAAGGACAATTGAAGAATAAATGCTCATGGTCTTCTGTCTCTAACCTGCAGAGGACACAGGAAGAGTGGGATATGATTCCCCACCGGAGGAGCCGATCCCTTGTTGGGAGTCGCGTGAGTAACGCCTGCCACTGAACAAAGCAGAATCTTGGAATACTCAATTTGAACCAGAGGAATGAGTGCCATGGGACCTTGGGTATGGCTGTTCGGAGTCGGTTCCATGTAGCTGCAGAGGAAAAATGCGAGACTACCTTTCCTTCAGAATGAATCCAGAGGGGCACATCATTTCCCAGCAATTCAGAAGGAGGTTGAATAGCTGAGATGGCAGTCAACATTTGCTGGATTCTTTCTGATCTAGCCCCGGGGAGAATCCAGTTGCCGTCACTTGCTGCATCACATACCCGACTGAACTTCGGGAGCCTCATTAGTCGAGGACCGAGCTCACCGACATAGTCAATGAGTGGCCCAAGACTAGTCCAATCATCCAACCAGAACAAAGCAGCTTTACCATTTCTAATTTGGAGCCGAATAAACTTGCGTGAAAGAGATTTCATCGAGATTAACTTACGAAGGTTCCAAGACAGCCGGTTGGAGGGAGGAGAGCCCATGTAAGCTCGGTGCTTGAAAGCATTGAGTCGAAGCCAAGCTACCCATAGAGACCCCGAACACTTGAACATGATCCAGATGAGCTTGAATCTGAATACTGTGTTAACCTCATCTAGCTTCCGAAGCCCGAGTCCACCTTCAATTCTAGGGGTACATATAGTAGCCCAAGAGACCCGATGAGACGCCGAGCTTTGGGTTGAAGACTTCCATATGAAAGCCGCACAGAGACTGTCGATAGTCTTCATAACCTTTTTGGGTAGCAGAAAGGTCTGACACCACGAGTTAACTAGGCCGTAAATAACGGACGAGACTAGTTGGATTTTACCCGCATAGGAAAGAAACTTCACTGTCCACCCAGCAAGTTTAAACTTGATTCTGTCAATAAGGGGCTGATAGTCAGAGATGAGGAGCTTCGATGTGTGGAGCGGGATCCCAAGGTATCTGACGGGAAAAGTCCATGCCCGCATCGACAGACTCGAACAAAGAACCTGAGCATCCATATCTGGCATACCTCCCGTGAAGAGTTCTGATTTTTCAGTATTCATACGCAACCCCGAGTAGTTTCCGAACTCGTCAATGAGAGTTTTAATGGTGGACAAGGATTCAGGGGAACCTTCAGAGAAAAGCATTACATCATCATCGAATGCAAGATAGGTGATAAGCGGATTTCGGCATTTGTTATGCAACCAAAATTTCCCCTCCATAGATGCCTTATCAATCATCCTCGAAAATATTTCCATCACAAGAATGAATAAGTAGGGCGATAGCGGGTCACCTTGCCGGAGACCGCGAGTTCCAGGGAAATAGCCATGCAACTCTCCATTAATAGCAATAGAAAACTTAGTAGTAGTGATACACTGCTGAATCCAATCCACAAATCTGTCCGGGAGCTTTAAGGCTCTGAGAATGCCAATGAGGAAATCCCAATTCATAGTATCAAAAGCCTTACGAATATCCAATTTTAGCATAGCACTTCGGGGAGAGCTCTTACATCTATAATCCTTGACTAGCTCTGCAGCCATTAGTATGTTTTCCACCATCAATCTACCCTTCTGAAAGGCAGTTTGGTTCGGGGAAATAATCTTCGCAAGCAAGGGTTTGAGTCTACGAGCTAGAATGGTCGATATCACCTTGTACGAGAAATTGCAGCAGCTAATGGGCCGAAACTCGGTTAGAGACACAGCCGCTGGCCTCTTGGGAACGAGTACAATCGCAGTAGCATTCATCTGCCCAAGTAGCCTTCCACTGATGAAGAATTCCTCCACAGCCTTGATTATATCATTACCGACAATATCCCAAGAGGAGGTGAAGAACTCCTTTGGGAAACCATCCGGCCCATGTGCTTTCTTCGATGGCAGAGACATGATAACAACCTTAATCTCACCTGCTGTCGGAATCCTCGAAATATCAAGATCTGTAGGATCAAGTTGAACAGAGTGTAGTAGGCTAGACAACCAACTTGCAGGAGGTTCAACAGTGTTGTAGTCTCGTGAACCCAACATATTTTTGTAGAAATCAACAGCTAGTGTCCGGACATCAGTCGGATTGTCCACTCACTGACCGTGTTGATCAATCAGATAATGGATCCTATTGCGGCCTACACGAGAGGAGGCTGACTTGTGGAAAAAACTTGTATTACGGTCACCCAACTTGAGCCATTGAATGCGCGATTTCTGACAGTAAAGGCGCTCCTCTGCATCAGATAGAAGTAGCCACTTCTTATGCAGGATTTTCCCTTCCTCGACAAGGCTGGATGATGGATTTGACAGCAAATGAGCATGTACATCTTTAAGCTGGTCGCGGGCATTAAGAACTCGCCTTGAGAGGTTGCTGAAAACCTCTCGATTTAACTTCCGCAACGGGTGTTTAAGGCTTTTTAGGCGCTTGCAGAGTTGATATTCGTAAGTACCAACTGACGGTAACTCGTTCCAGGTGTCGTGAATAACCTGCAAAAAACTAGGACACAAGGTTAGGTGAGTGAAAATTTTAAAAGGAAGTTTTTTCCGAGGGGTAAGGTTAGGAATACAAAGAAGGCCCGTAGAATGGTCCGAGGGACCCGGGGCAACATAATCTGCATAGCCTCATGAAACATGTCATGCCACTTTAGGTTGCACATCATACGGTCAAGTTTAACTGATAGGGGAGCTAGACTTTGGTTGTTACACCAGGTAAAGTGCAATCCTCGACTCGGGATATCATGGATCTCAGCAATAGCTACACACTCCTCAAGGTCAGTTAGGCCTTGGGATGGATGAGGGGAATTTGGATAGTCAGAGCGCTCATTGCACATCAATATCTGATTGAAATCACCCAATATTGTCCAAGGGGATGCAACTATCGGTTGGTACATAGACAGATGTACTAACTCATTCCAAAGATCCTTTCGCTCTGATGGGGTATTCCTTGCATAGATGAAAGTAGCAGTGAATGACGCTTTCGACTCGGGGATGAAGATTCCACAAGTAACGGCTTGGGCTGAGGACTGGTAGATGTGAACTAAAACCTAATAGGCAGATCCGGCCTAACGGGTCATCAGCATGATTACAAAAGAGACTCCAACCCGAGGGAATTAGGGTTGCTAGTCTGCTGGCATTTAAGGCTTGAAGTACGGGTCTCCAAAAGTCCTCCCATCAGAGGCTTGTTTTCCAAAATCCACTTGCGGACTAATGCTCGCTTATAACGACCATTAAGGCCCCTTACATTCCAGGCAAAAAACATGGGATTCCACAACCTTCTAATTGGATCTCGTGGCCTTGCGGCCACGCTTCTCAGCCTTGGTACTCTTTTGGCTTTTTCCCGACTTGGCGCTCGGTCTAACAGTGCTCTTACTTATTGTGACTGGAGATTCACCACTAGGCGAAGACTGAGAGTCAAGCTGGTGGTGAGGGGGCCTAGATGGAAGAGCG